ACGAAAACCTTAGCCTTATAATTCTATTAAATTCGCAGTCATGCAAAAAAAAGTTTCTTTCTTTCTTCTTCTTAAACTTCTATAAATGCAAATAGAATATTATGTATGATTATGAGAGAAAAGTGAGAAAATTGATACATCGGAAACTTACTTTCGCTGCAAGAAATAACTTTACGAAGATGCACTTCAATATTCTTGATGCTCTTGTAGGTGCCTTCCAGTGCTATTTCATGTTTATAAAGGTTCTGACGAAACCATGGCGTATCAGCAATGCATTCTGAGAATTCGAGTGGTTCCAGCACCATCTCGGACAAATGGAGGGTGATGAGAATCAGAAATTATCGAGAAGTTCGAGAAATTCGTAGGATTGAGGAATGTACACGACAGAATATGGCGTGTTATCATTGACATTTTTTTGACAGAGTTTGTGGGCACGTCTTGATTTTATGATTGCCCTTGCCATGCCCTTTTTAATTATCAAATTGGCGAACCAGGTCACCTTCTGTGGGACGTATATGCTTAGAAAAGCAAATTATAGTTCTACTAATTTTCTTTGTAGAACGTAGTTCCATTTATTTGATATTAGCGACTGATGCTTATCTTATTGCGAATGTGGCGCTATCACATAGGGCTGAAAGAAACGGTTTGCCTCTCTTCCAAAGTGCGATCTTGCATTCGTCTTGTATCATATATGGTTAGGAGATTATTCAAATAGTATCGCAAGATCTACGTATCCAGAAACAGCTCTCACTAGCAGTATAGACCCATAATTTTGCAAAAATGAAGTCTAATAATTAACATTCACGGATCCTGTGGGCAGTTTTAAATGTTTTATAAAAGCTTTCGTAAACATACCTCTTTAGCACAACGCTCCTTAGTCTCAATTTCTAAAAGTAAATGTGCGAGAAATATACTATAAATGTTACTCTTTCTTTGAGCCTAGAGCGATAAACTCGCTCTACACGATGGGATTGACGATATGAGACGCGCTTCAATCTAATCTCTACCCAAAACTTTCGAAGATTAAAAAAATTTACTTAAATCGTACACAAATCTCAAATCCTCCCCAGCTGGCGTTGACTTTTAGGTAATTTGTCTCTAGTTAGGATTGCGTAACAAGCGAGGTTAGATTTCAAAATAGAATTTGTAAGAAGAACTTTGCTCAGAATCCGTTGTTTAATTCCTGCATGCATTATACCTTCTTCCGTGCCTAAATGTCGAGGAAAAAAATTAACTCTTTCTTTGTGTTGCAAGTTTTGACCCATCGTTTATCAAATTCAGGCAAGCCTGATAGAGCCTGATATCGCCACTGAGTGTTGTTTCTTCCACTCAAGCAGACTTGTGCATTAAGAAGAAGTAAGTCCTTGGGGTTTTTGTTGAAAATGCGCAACTGAACATGCAAGGCTTTGATCTGGGGAAAAAGTTTGTCTCATGGTAAAAAATGATTAAATTCAGAAAAA